ACCAATATCGGGTTCTTCCCTTCGTGCTAGCTTTATCCCCTCACATTTTCACAAAGTGCATGGATGCTGTTCTGGCTCCCTTGCGACTCCAGGGCATCTGTATACTAAACTACTTGGATGACTGGTTATTTCTAGCATGATCCAGGGATCTGTCGACTCAACATCGAGATGTTGTTCTCATCCACATGAAAGGCTTGGGGCTCAGGTTGAACCTCAAGAAAAGTATGCTTTCACCAGTGCAGAGGACAACCTTTCTAGAGGTTATATAGGATTATACTACGATAAGGGCGTTTATATTTCCAACATGCGTATTGTCAAGTCTATCAAAATTGGGCATCCCCTCCAGTCTCTACGAGAGACTGTTGGGGCTTATGGCAGCAGGTGTCGTGTGACCCTTAGGCTCGGATCTTTTGAACAGGCAATGCCCTCAGTATGACAGAGTGGGTATTTTTGTCCCCACAGCGTGAAGCTCACACAACATTGAGTTCCCTTTGAAAGGGATCATCTGGGTTAAACATGTAACCCAGTTCCCTGAGAAGGGAATGAGACGTTGCGTAGTTTTGTCATACTGGGTCATGTTTTTAAAAACAGGTCCTGTTTTTATATCACATGAAGCGCTTAATCGCCACATCATCTGATCATGGCAGGCCCTGTAAATAGGCATGATGTTACACAAACTTCAGATATCTTCACAAACTTCAGTCACGAGTGAGAGCGCTTCCAACAGCGTGAAGCTCACGCAACAACTAGTTCCCTTCTCAGAGAACAGGGTTAAATGTGTATCCCAGATGTTTGTATCAAGACTTGAAAATGTGTGTTCACCAATGATCTCCATTCAATCTGAGAGTTTGAGAAATCTAGATATTAAACAAATTAGACACATATATACTGTAGACATAGGAGACATATTTGAGAAGAATTGCAGTTGTAATTGTGGTTCTATCAAGTATTAAACCAGGTAGGAATACATCCTGGTTAGGACATTCATTCATACTTGAGGCAATTTAGAGTCACCATTCCACCTACCAGCATGTTTTTGTACAGTGGGTGAAAACACAAAGGGAACCCACGTAGACCTGGGAGAACATGTGAAACTCCACACAGACAATAAGCCTCATGATCAAACCCTGGAACCTGTAGCTGTGATGCAGCTATGCTTGCTGCAATACCACTATGCCACCTAATCAATACTAGAAAAATTACAATTTCGGAATATAGACCCTTTATTTGCGATTTGCAGAGATTTTTGTGCTTTTTTAGGGACAAATAATTGAATCTGTGAAATTGCAATTGCCCAAAATTGTTTTGTACAGTCTTTCACAGTTATGTTTGTTGGTAAATGAGACCTTTTTATTTGTACTCATGTTCGATGCACGTGAATCAAAGGGGCTTTGGCTAAATAAATGTTATGATGCACATGACGCGTGCGTCTTGGCCAAAATCTGGAACAACTCTGCTGTAATTTAGAAAATTTGCAAACTCCTCCAAATATTGCAGTTTCCTTTGCTTTTTACTTTTAATTACTGTGATTACAAAATCCTGGAGGGACAGTATAGTTAATGTTTTTGTTCCTAGACAGAGAGGAAGTAGATGTTTTTAAAAGAATACAGTTCTAATTCACCACCATGTTTAAAATAAAAGCTCCATGTCTAAGTGAGAGTTACCTCTTCGCAGTTCTACTGAGTTACTCTTAGAACATGACAGCGGAACATCTCCATTGGTCCTAATAATTTTTGGAGTCATGTTTAAAAAACGGGTTCTGACAGAGGGTTTTTTCTATGAGTAGCTATATTCAGCTCCACTCTCCTTCAGGTACAGGAGTTTGATGGGGAGATTTGGAGGCAGAAAGGATCTTGAAGGTACAACAGAAACATTAAAAGCTGATGTCTATACTCACCTCCTTACACTGGCACCATGGGGAGTCTACCTCCCACACATCAATCTTAAAAGCATGCCCTGGATTTCAATGTCATAGACACCCACACACACACACACACACACACACACACACACACACACACACACACTCACACACACACACACATTCAAACAAATGAAAAACAACAGTGCAGAAGCTTAAGCATACGCAATGCAATGCACTGACAGAAGGGTGAGGCAAAGTGCTAATATCTATTCTCTCTTTATTGCCACCGTTGGCAGTAGTTTGATTTGGCATGTATGAAAGCATAGATGAAACTTGGCTTCTCAGGCTTTTAAATTCTTGGGTTTTATTATCAGACTCAGAGATGATGTAATCCTTTACACCCCCTCATTTTGAGCAATGCATGTTGTTTGTGAGAGCTCTGTGTGACCATCATGCTGCACTGCCATGTGAGTGCTAACACTCCTCACTAGCAAATTTCAATGTTCTTATCCTACTGCACTATACTGATGCCTTGTTTAGTAATAATGATCCCACGCAGGATAAAGAAAATTAGAAATGTATTGATCTTTCAGCTGTAAGTGGGAAATAGCAGGAAGCATAGTGTAGTAAGTGTTATATGGGCACAGGACTGATCTCACCTGATAGAGAGAATTAAAACTCATCTTGTCTCTGTTTGTTGCTTAATATTTTTTTATACTACCGAGTTGTTTAATATTTGATTCTGATTGGTCAGAAGGGGTTGACTAATTTTCCAAAACAGCAGTTCTGATAGTGCTGGCTACAAGGTTCATTTAGACACTCATGTTAAGATGTTATTATATCTATAGAAACAACTTACACAGCAAATTATATGATGAATGCTCAACAAAAATGGTTTTAAATACATATGCAATTGTTAAAATAGTTAAGTTTTCTGAAGGAGATATTTAATTAACATTTTTCTTCAGTCTCCAGTGTTGTCAGAGTTAAGCTGTAACTTTACATTTTAACACTGTATTTAAAAAAACAACACATTTTAACACTGTCTTTAGGACAGTGGACTTTTTGCTTTCTTGATAATATGACAAGTTGCCTTTTTTTTATCTTATTACCTTTAAGAGCAAATAAAGACAAGCTGGTGAGGTGATTTTTTGTGGATATTTGTGTCAAAATTTAATTACTGAAAAACTTGTAATTGTTTGAAACTTGCTGTGGTGTACGACTGATACACTTCAGATACAGTAACTGGAAAATAATCAGCTTCTGGGTCATAACATTAACTCAGTTTTCAGTTGGGTCACACACTACATCATTGATTATTTTCCTGTAACAGCATGCTCTGTTGTTGTTTATTCCTAACTTATACTGTATTCAAAAACACTTTAAATTGTTACAGACCGCATGGCTCTTTTGATTACACTGTGAAATTTATTTTCATCCCAGTGATTTAAAGAAATATAAAGAAATAAAGTATAAATGATTACATTCTTTTTTCCTTTATAACAAATAATTCCTGGTGGTTGGGAATCTCTGCTTTAACACTCAACACCTTTGGCCCAGTGTGGTCTTTTTGAGAAAAAGCCAGAAGATGACTACATATGCAATACATTGTTCAGACACAACCCTAGTAAGAATATTCTATATCTTTTGTTGTTGTTTTTTTTTTTAGAGAAAGAAGACACTGGCTACACTGGCTACTCACCAAACATGACAATTTTTCTCATTAAAAACCTGTGAAATGATTTCATTAACTATTGTGGACTTCTCTATGTTTGCGTTCTGTCTTTTTTGCTTTATAGCACTGTTGACCCCCTTCAGCAATGTTGCAGGACAACAGTTTCTATGACGATAGTTTCCATGCCACTTATTTACCCAGATTCTCTCACTCAGCAGGCAAGATAAATCACATTTCGGAACGAGTGTCCACATCAGTCTCCCTGGCATTCCATTAAAACCCTCATGGGTCCCTATTGCTCTTCTCAAGAGACAGTTTTTGACCAGAGGCTACACACATCTTTTAAGAAGCTCTCAGGTGCCACACACAATACACACAATACACAGACCTAACAGGTAGCAGGTGTCAAATAAACAGAAGGAGGAATAATAAACAAACAAAAAAAGCAAATATGGGAATAAATCATAATAGGCAGTGTTTTTCTTTTTAATAATACAAGTTTAAGGAATATGTTGGTGTTTTGAGAAACCCTGTTCATCTTATGGAGCCTATGGATTTTTATTATACAGCTTACAAACCATGTACACACACAAGTAGAACATTCCTGGCAGTTAATTTATAAGGTGCAGAGCAAAGTTGCCAAATCTAATCACCACCTTAAACCTGTAATATGCACTTGTGATTGGGTAAAGACACAGTTATCTATTTAAGTACAGAAAAGAACACAATTTTTTCTTTGTAGATTTATGATATGAAATCCCAACTATGAAGACATTCTACTGTAGGGGTCTACATATAAGATTTCCCCTAGAAGGACAAGCTAAATATGTCTTTAATACCAGATGGTAGAGAGCTTGCTTTGCATGTGAGAGGTAGCAGAATCGATGCCTGCATCCTCCAAATTCTGACCTGTTGTCAGTTTCAAAAACTATCACTGTTTGCTTTTTTAGGGACACCTGTACACATTCATACATTTATCTACTCAGCCCAATAATCTTACACCCTGTCTGGTAATGCAGAGGTCCTATCTTTAAGGGAGGGGGATTAGGTCAGATGGTAGAGCACCCGCTTAGCATGTGAGAGGTAGGGAGATAGACACTCCATCCTGCAATTTCTGGTCTGTTTTCAGTGTGAAAAGTTATCCCTGAGTGTGTTTTTAGGGACACCTGTACACATCAATACATTTTTCTACTCACCCAATCATCGTACAGCCAGTCTGGTAATGTAGAGATCCTGTCTTTAAGAGAAGGGGTTTAGCTCAGGTGGAAGAGCACTTCCTTTGCATATGAGAGGTAATCAGATAGACGCCTGCATAGTCCAAATCTTGGTCTGTTTTCAGTGTGAAGATCTATTCCCTGACTGCATTTTAAGGGACACCTGTACACATTGTTATGTTTATCTACGCAGCCATCATCATCTTACTTCCCCGTCTGGTAATACGGAGATCCTATTGTGAAAAGAGGGGGATTAACTCAGATGGTAGAGTGCTCACTTAGCATATGAGAGGTAGTGGGATCGATGCCTGCATCCCACAAATTCTGCTGTGCTTTCAGTGTGAAAAACTGTCCCTGTGTGTGTTTTCAGGAACACCTGTACACTTTCATACGTTTGGTTACCAATCATCTTACACCCTGTCTGGTAATGTGTGTCCTATGTGTAAAGCAGGGGGATTCGCTCAGATGGTAGGGCGCTTGCTTGGCATGTGTGAGGCAGCGAGGTTGACTCCAGCATCCTCCAAATTCTGACCTGTTCTCAGTTTCAAAAACTATCACTGACTGCATTTTTAGGGACATCTGTACACATTCATACATTTATCTACGCAGCCAGTCATCTTACACCCTGTCTGTAAATGGAGAGATCCTATCTTTAAGAGTGGCATTTAGCTCAGATACTTGCTTTGCATGTAGGGACACCTCTATAGTGCAGAAAGTCTTTAAGTTTTTAAGAGATGGGGTTTAGCTCAAATGATAGAGCCCTTGTGTTGCATGTGAGAGTTAGCTTGATAGACCCCAGCATCCTCCAAATTCTGCTTTGTTATCAGTGTGAAAAACTATCCCTGAGTGCTTTTTTTGAAGACACCTTTACACATTCATAGCTTTAGCTACTCAGCCAATCATCCTACACCCTGTCGGGTAATGCAGAGATCTTGTCTTTAAGGGGTCGGGATTAACTCAAATGGTAGAGCGCTCACTTAGCATGTGATAGGTAGTGGGATAGATGCCCGAATCCTACAAATTCTGGTCTGTTTTCACTGTGAACAACTATCCCTGAGTGTGTTAGCGACACATTCATATATATATCTACTCAGTCAATCATCTTTCACCCTGTCTGGTAATGCGGAGATCCTGTCTTTAAAGGAGGAGGATTAGCTCAGATGGTAGAGCGCTTGCTTAGCATGTGGGAGGTAGTGGGATCGATGCCCGCATCCTCCAAATTCTAACCTATTTTCAGTTTCAAAACTATCCCTGACTGCGATTATAGAGACACCTGTATACATTTATCTATGCAGCCAATCATCTTATTTAAGGGAGGGGGATTAGCTCAAATGTTTGAGGGCTAGCTTAGCATGTGAGAGGGAGTGGAATTGATGCCTGCATCCTCCAAATTCTGACCTGTTTCAGTTTCAAAAATTGTACACATTCATTAATTTATCTATGCAGCCATTCATCCTACACCCTGTCTGTTAATGTGGAGATCCTATCTTTAAGTGAGGGGGATTAGCTCAGATGGTAGAGCACTTGCTTTGCATGTGAGAGGTAGCAGTATCTACACCTGCGTTCTCCAAATTCTGCTCAGTTGTCTATGTGAAAAACTATCCCCGAGTGCATTTTAATGACAGCTGTACACAGTCACACATTAACCTACTCAGCCAATCATTTTACACCCTGTCTGTTAATGCAGACATCCTGCCTTTAAAGGAGGGGGATTAGCTCAGATGCTAGAGCGCTCACTTAGCATCTGAGAGGTAGTGTGATGGACTTTTGACCTGTTTCTGTTTGAAAAACTACCTCTCACTATGTTTTTAGGGACCCCTGTACACATTCATACTTTTAATGAGCTGTTCTCAGTTTCAAAAACTGTATACATTCATTCATTTATCTACTCAGCCTATCATCTTACACTCTGTCTGGTAATGCGGAGATCCAGTCTTTAAGGGAGGTGGATTAGCTCAGATGCAAGAGCACTCGCTTAGCATGGGAGAGGTAGTGAGATAGATGCCCGCATAGTCCAAATTCTGGTCTGTTTTCTGTGTCAAAAACTATTCCCTGAGTGTGTGTTTTTAGGGACACCTGAACACATTCATACATTTATGAGTGCATTTAGAGTGCTCACTTAGCATGTGAAAGGTAGTGGGATCGACGCCCGCATCCTCCAAATTCTAACCTGTTTTCAGTTTCAAAAACTATCCCTGACTGCGTTTTTAGGGACACCTGTACACATTCATACATTTAGCTACACAGCCAATCATCTTACACCCTATCTGTTAATGTGGAGATCCTGTCTTTAAGCGAGTGGGATTAGCTCTGATGGTAGAGCACTCACGCTGCATGTGAGAGGTAGTGGGATAGATGCTTGCATCCTCCAAATTCTGGTCTGTTTTCAATGTGAAAAACTATCCCTGACTGCATTTTTAAGGACAAATCCATACATTTGTCTTCGCAGCCAATCATCTTACACCCTGTCTGGTAATGCGGAGATCTTGTGGGGGGATTAGCTCAAATGGTAGAGTGCTTGCTTTGCATGTGAGAGGTAGCAGGATCAACGCCCACGTCCTCAGTGTGAAGAACTATTGCCTGAGTGTGTTTTTAGGGACACCTGAACACATTTATCTCTATCTTTAAGGGCTGGGGGTTAGCTCAGATGGTAGAGTGCTGGCTAAGCATGTGAGAGATAGTGGGATATATGCTTGTATCGTCCAAATTCTGGTCTGTTTTCAATGTGAAAGCTATCAATGTGAAAAGCTACAGTGTCTTGCGAAAGTATTCGGCCCCCTTGAACTTTTCAACCTTTTGCCACATTTCAGGCTTCAAACATAAAGATATAAAATTTAAATTTTTGTGAAGAATCACCAACAAGTGAGACACAATTGTGAAGTGGAACGAAATCTATTGGATATTTTAAACTTTTTAGCAAATAAAAAACTGAAAAGTGGCGCATGCAAAATTATTCGGCTCCTTTACTTTCATGGCAGCAAACTCACTCCAGAAGTTCAGCGAGGATCTCTGAATGATCCAATGTTGTCCTAAATGACTGATGGTGATAAATAGAATCCACCTGTGTGTAATCAAGTCTCTGTATAAATGCACCTGCTCTGTGATAGTCTCAGGGTTCTGTTGAAAGTGCAGAGAGCATCATGAAGACCAAGGAACACACCAGGCAGGTCCGTAATACTGTTGTGGAGAAGTTTAAAGCCGGATTTGGATACAAAAAGATTTCCCAAGCTTTAAACATCCCAAGGAGCACTGTGCAAGCGATCATTTTGAAATGGAAGGAGTATCAGACCACTGCAAATCTACCAAGACCTGGCCGTCCCTCTAAACTTTCAGCTCAGACAAGGAGAAGACTGATCAGAGATGCAGCCAAGAGGCCCATGATCACTCTGGATGAACTGCAGAGAACTACAGCTGGGGTGGGAGAGTCTGTCCATAGGACAACAATCAGTCGTACACTGCACAAATCTGGCCTCTATGGAAGAGTGGCAAGAAGAAAGCCATTTCTCAAAGATATCCATAAAAATGCTTGTGGCAAACTTTAGACGAGAATAAAGTATTTGATTCCCTGCTGATTTTGTACATTTGCCCACTGACAAAGAAATGATCAGTCTATAATTTTAATGGTAGATTTATTTTAACAGTGAGAGACAGAATAACAACAAGAAAATCCAGAAAAACTCATGTCAAAATGTTATAAATTGATTTAAAAAATGCCACCAAGTACTGTCATGTTTTGCAGAAGGGTCAAATACATATTTCCCTCATTAAGATGCAAATCAATTTATAAATCTACCATTAAAATTATAGACTGATCATTTCTTTGACAGTGGGCAAACGTACAAAATCAGCAGGGGATCAGATACTTTTTTCCCCTCACTGTATATCCTATGCCTTATTATATTCCTAAAGTATTAACATCTGCTGCCCAGCCTTTAGTCTTGCAGGCTTTCCACCCTCCACCGCTTCTTACACCAGAACAAGAAAGATTGCACCTATTATTTCCAGTAAGGGCGGTTACTTACTTCCACTGCTCTGCCCAGTGGCGAAAGTCGGGGCAGATGCTGGTCTGCTTTGGCAGTGACAGTAGAGTTGATACTGTGTCAAGGCAGCGCATCTCTAATTGGATAGTGGAAGCAATCTCTATTGCTTATCATTGTTACTCCTCTGGGAATAACAGCTAATTCCATTAGGGGGGTCGCCTCCTTGAAGGCTTTATCGAAAGGGGTACCTTTACAGGATGTTTGCTGCAACGGGGTAGTCTATGCTGCATACATTCATTTGGTATTACAGTTTGCACATGGATTCCTCCCTAGGCGTGAGGGTCTTGTAATGACCCTCAGGCTCGGATGTTTGTATGGGTATACTCATTCCCACAGTGTGAAGCTCAGACAGTGTTGAGTTCCCTTTGACAGGGAACGTCTAGTTTATGCAAGTAACCCTGCTCCCTGAGAAGGGAACGAGACGTTGCGTAGCATTGTCATACTGGGATATGCCTGTAAATTGTGTCTTTGCTTCAGACAAAAAGAAACTTATGACATGGTATACAGGTGCTGTTTTATAGTCATTCGACGCACAAAATGCCACATCACCTGACCACGGCAGGCCTTTATAATAAGCATGATTTTACACAGACTTCAGATACCGGTCAAGCACAAAGTCGCTTCCCACATCGTGAAGCTCATGCAATGTCTTGTTCCCTTTTCAGGGATCAAGGTTACATGCGTAACTCAGACGTTTTTATGATTACTGCAGACATTCTTAGGTACAAGCCTATAGCATACAGATGAGATTATGTACTGGAAGAAAGGGTGAGACATAAACCACAGGTGCATGCTTGTGAAGACTGCACGTAAAGCCAGTCTTTTACTAAAATTTCATTAAATTGCATGTCTGCATTATTCATCAGTCTTGCTGGAATTTTAGTGAATTAAATGATCAAATACATCACTGCAATATTGAACTGATCCTTAAAATTTGGAGGTCCAGGCTGGTGGATTCTCCTCTTCAGTTCACACCATAGGTTTTCTAAGGGGTTCAAGTCAGGGAACTGGGATGGCCATGGCAGGATCTTGATTTTGTTGTCAGTAAACCATTTTTGTGTTGTGTTGACCATATTTCTGTGGGCATGGGGTACTTTTCCATATGGCGACCTCTCTGTGTGCATCGAAACCACCTCTGGTGTTTATTGTCAAAAAGCTCTATTTTGGTTACATCTGACCATAGAACCCGATCCCCTTTGAAGTCCCAGTAGTGTCTGACAAACTGAAGATGCTTGAGTTTGTTTTTGGATGAGAGTAGAGGCTTTTATCTTGAAACCCTTCCAAAAAACAAATGAATGACTAACGAATGACTAAGGGAATTTGACCTATGTGTTACCTTATATGTATACACCTATATTTACAAATGTGTTTTTTTTTAATAAACCTGTGTTTTGTTTGCAATTGTGTGATATGCATGAGAGCAGGGTATTTTGAGATTTTTTTAAACAAAATATCAGAAGGTTATACAATAAAGACAATTTTTCAGAGGCTTCTTTGCTCATATTTACCAAGGGTGCCAATATTAATGGAGGGCACTGCACATGTATTAATCCAGTTTATCTATTTATCTTTTTAGTTAATACAATAAGAGTAACAAGAATGTTTTGCATTTGTCAGGCAAGGGCTATTTTAGAAGGTAATTACAGATACTGGAGTGTCATGGGGAGTGTCTTGAAAACATTTAACAGATATAAATGTACTGGTCACAGTGTGATGTTCATACTATTAAAGAAATTCAAAGAAACTGGATAAATTGAAGACAGGTGTATTGAAATACCCACCATCCAGTAACTACAATAAACTTATTAGGAAATGTATGTAGTTACAACAGTAAGTTGTAAAAGTCTAGACTAACCAACAGGTCTTAAGAGTAAGGGACAGAAAGAAATATGTCTAGGGCAAGCAGACCTCTTCAAGAAATAGTCATGAAAACTGGTTGTGACTATAAAACCATTAATTTCCAGAAAAGTGCGGCAGAATTATTTCACTAATGCTAATGCTTTAAAGCATTGCACAACAACCAGTAGCAGAAAGTTTTATACAGAGATAAGTCTGGATCTGGTTCACAAAGGCACCAGTATGTCAGAAGAGGAGTTGGTGAGAAGTATAAGACTGCACATATGCAGGTTTATTGCGAAGCACAGTGACAGCACTGTCATGGTCTGGGTGCATTTCAGCTAATGATGTAGAAGAGTTGAAGTCAGATGGGACAATTATGGTATCAATTTAATTAAATTCCATTTTATTTATATATTATCTGAACAATAGACATGGTCACAATGTAGCTTTACAGAAATTTGGATATAGATTTAGATCGGTAATGAGAAAGCAAGACGCAACAGTGGCAAGGAAAATTCCCTTAAAGAACATGAAGAAAAAATCTTGAGAGGAACCAGCCTCAAAAGGGAACCTATCCTCTTCTGGGTGACACCAGACATTTGGATAATAAATCACAGCTGACGAAGAGTAACAGCACACAGAACTAAGAGTGTTGAAAAAATGTTCATTAGGAATTCTGTTTTGAGCACAGTCTTTATGATTACAGCAGCAGCTATTAGAAGGAACAAGTCTACAATATGCAGGTGGAATTATCCACTGGTAATCGACATGTGTGAGACTTTGGCATAACTGCTTTTGGGACATGATTTTTTGTAGGAATAACTTTAGGAGTAAGTTTGTAGGAATATCTTTACACAATTATGTATTCTTCATTATTCTAGATATTAAAAAAGAGTCTGCATACATGGCAGATCATAACAAACCAAAATATGTGGGTCAAGACATTCAATGCCTTAAATCAATGAGAAATTTTACTGGGAGAAAATGCAGTGTGGATAAGATAGGAGTAATGTAATCCTTTTTTCTGGTTCTAATAAAGACTCTGGCTACTGAATTCTGGACTAACTGGACTAACTCACTAGCGTGTTTGTGCACCTAGTGGAACATCCAGACAGCAAGGTATTACAATAGTCCAACTTAGAGGTAACAAAAGCATGAACTAGCTTTTTTTCTTCATGTAATGACATTCTATTTCATAGATTAGCAATGTATCTGAAATGGAAAAAAGTAATCATACTGGACTCCAATTAAAACAGAAGCAGCATTTATTTCAGATTACTTACAAGGAAAACAAGGCAATGTCTACAATCTTTAATGAGGTTTGGGAATATTTACCATATTTTTATGGATGAAATTTGTGTCCTTTATTTTTTAATTGATTCGTCATGGCAAAGTGACAGTGAATCCAGATGCTATCATAGAAAAACTTCCAAAAGGTTCCATTACACCCTGGATGGGACACCAGTTCATCATAGGACACCAGACACACACGCACACACCCACACGCATACACTCACACACAAACACACTCAGACACACACTCACACACACCTAGGAGCAGGACTGGGCTTAAGTCTTAGGCACCACATTTTCTTCTTCGTTTTTAAATATATTTAGCAGATTTTATTTGAGCTTATTTTATATCGTCTGCAATTGAAAGTTAGTAGACAATAGCAAAGAATAA